CCGTAACTGATGATTATATCGGTGTTCCTTGAATTACTGCTTCCAGTTTCCATATATTGTCTCTGTTGACTAAAGGATACAAGAATAGCAGTTGGTTTTTCGATTCCCTCACCACTTTAAATATGATATTACCACCAGATTCAATAAAATATAGTGCATATTATTGCACTTATGCTGAAAAGGGGAATGGTATTCTTGTATTGTGTTAAATCACTTACTATCATTGCTTGCTTCATCACCATAACACCCTAACTATTGACTTCTTACTCCGTATTTACGACTTAATTGACTCAGCAGGAGTAAAATATGGCTTCCTAATTTTTCCGAGTGCTTAAAGTGGGGGAAATATTCGATATAATCTCTCCACTAACTATAACTAGGCAACTTTATACTAATTACCAGTATAATTGTCTGAGATGGCCTTGGTTTGGAAGACCCATATTAGTGAAAATGGGTGATGATTGAGTGTGAAACGAAAATTCAGGTCACGACAGGATTCGAACCGGCGGCCACCACGCTACCATCCCCGTGCTCTACTAACTGATCTAAGGGAACCAACTTTTGATCGGACCTTAATTACTTTTCAGTCCCCAAGAGTTATGCTTCCTTTAATTATAAAATTCATGATGCGCAACTGCCTGTTCATGATATTTACACTGACCGCCTTTCAAGAACTCATTCCAATCCATATCCAGCTGAATTAGAGCACAGGAGCATCACATTAACCACTAGTTTGACCATTTGAGGAAACCGTAGATGGGTAGTCAAGTGAATGAAATTAAAATTTGGTAAGCAGCTCAGTCCCATAGGCTCGATATTGCCTGTATTTCAGTCATATATAATTGATGGATGTGATGAATATTAATGATGAGGCAGTTACATCCAGCTGACAAATCCCAAACAGAATGAAACGTGCATCCTGGATTCCACTGCTAACCACTATTCATCAATAATATAATGTTGGAATACAGGCAACATCGAGGAATCCGCGCGGGACATATATGCCAATAGAGATGAATCAATTCGGTCCACTCAACGGCATGATAATACAAGCAACAACATTAATACATTTACAAAAGGTGATGAGATGACGAAGGTTATCTGAAACATGTGGTACATTAGCGATACACACTTGGAATAGTCTGTCCACATATGAACGTTCTGTTGTTGATATGAAAATCTACATAAAAGATTAATTAAATAAATAGGAAACATGAGAATAGGAAGGGCGGAACAAAAATCCTAATCTGGATCATATTACTTTTAGTCTTAAGGTTAAAGTCAATGTTTACAAGAAAGGTTTAAAGAGAGTGCAAACTACTTTATGGGTGGCTCCATCTTCGGTAAATTTCAATTAACTACGTTTATACAATACTTTAAAGTCTGTTTTAATGTCTCTCTCTCGTTTCTAGTTTATGTTCGATAATAGATGAAAATGGACGTTAGTCTCCTTCACATATCGGATCATTTGAGGTCACTTGTTTTTGATGCCACTTCTGTACAAGTTTAAGCATCCTTAGCTGCATTCCACAATTACTGTCTCGTATACAAACACTTACATTGATAAGTACAGTGGGATGTGATATAATCGAGTTGGTCTGGTTTGTTTTATAGCGTGAACTTTATTATCCCCATGGTAATGACCTTGACTGACTAGTGTGTTTTACAAATAAGCTGGTCAAGCCTTTTTTCACAATAAGGTTGTATTGAATCATGTCGACAGTATGTTAACATTACTCTTAGGACTGGACAGTGAATAAGTCTGGATGCTATACAAAGTCTTAACCTGTTGATAAATTTCAACCAGTAGCTATTCTCCGTATCAATGTCGCCGTCAACAGCTTAATTTCCTCTAGCACTATGTCATCAGTACAGATACTGCAATCTATCCATAAAATAAGTATATAATTAAACGGTGTCTGATTGAACAAAGAATATTCTTTTCAATAACTTCTTCTTCAGGTTCTACAGTTATATATACATATCGAGGAATTACACGTCAGTAATACAGAGATTCCGCTTATCAGTTTGTTCATGATATTTTGCAGTTAAGGAAGTCAATTCAGAAACCAACATGGACAGGCCAAAGATACTCAGCAGATTCAACGCAGTAAACTCAGCGATGAAGTTTACATATGACGAAGAGTTACAAGGCAAGATGGCTTATCTCGATGTTCTTCTCTCAAGACAAAAAGATGCGTCAATAAAGAGAAATTTGTTCACAAAAAGTACTTGGACACAGCAGTACACGCTGTTTCTCGGCTTCTTCCCCATTCAGTACAAAAAACTTAGTAAAATCTTTAAGTTATAGAATAAGGGTCATATATCTGGAAGATACAGTTGAGGAGGAAGTGGCAACTTTTCGCAACAAACTAATCGGAAATGGCTATCCTGACGAATTCATAAAGAAGCATTTGATTACAAAAATGGCAAAGTAGGATATTCCAATAGCTAGCAGAAAACCACTATACATCCGTATACAATCTAGAAGGTGACATGCTCAGCGAGAAATTAATTCACGAACTACGCAGATCACTTAAGAGAACTTTTAATCCTGGTAAATTATAAATTTTGTTTTTCACACACCTATTGGTGACACCGAGACTGGAAAGTAAATTGCCCATACTGGCCACTTCCAGTTGTTTTGATCAGTTTGACTGCTCCTATCGAGCCAGTTACGTCGGTCGCTGCTTTAGGAATTTGATTTTCTGTGTTCGCGAACACCTCCCAGCGTAGTTAAATAAAGGTGTGGAAAAAACCATTACCAACTCCATATGAGTAGGCTTCGTTGAACCAAACCATAAAGTGGATTTGAATGAGTCGTTTTCCATTCTGTACAGCGTTCCTATCAACTGGCCAATAGGTACTCGGTTCAGGATCCTTCAAACTGCAGAAGCAATCAGGATCAAACAACCCAAGTAGTGTATTCAAAACCAGCAAGGGTTACCTCTACAGTTACCGTGACCCGATTCAGAATGCACAAATTCACGAGCATCCTACCTCAGATAATCTAATTCCATACTGTAGATACCCCTTCTTCCTTTTAATTTTAACAAATTCTCTTGACCTATTTTGTTCTTTTTAGTTTATTCCATCCAATTGTCATAAACACCTTCCTATTATTTTTTTTATTAAACTACCACCTTTTATTATCGTATAAGCCTTATAATCACTTAGATAATCAATCACTTTGAATTGAATTCCAGTAACAGTTGATTCTATCATAAACGTTTACACAAGACCTTTCTCAACTGACTCCCTCAACTGTATAATAATGTTGTTGACAAACTGATAAGTAGAATCTCTATATTACTGACGTGTAGTTCTTCAATATGTGTATATAACTGTAGAACCTGAAGAAGAAGAAGTTATCGAAAAGAATATTCTTCGTTTACTCAAATAGCTTTTGAAATTTAATGGGAATCTATAATGATTTAAACAGCGTTTACATTGAACTGAATAGCCACTAAGAGAGCTAAGATATTCTCTTGTCCAAGTTTAGTTCTTATATAGATTCGCCTTCCGATCAAGAAATCCTGTCATCTACTGAACAAGATGTCTCAAAATAACACCTAGTGGTTTGTATATTTTCCACAATGAAGGCTAATGTGATTTTCAGCTGTGTTCATCTTTTCCAACAGGTGGCACAAAAATCGTAGTGTTGAAGCAGCTGCCTGCCAAATTACTTCTCGATCGACTCTGTCAAAGGTCTTTTCAAGGTGGATGAAGTTAAGTTAAAGATTTAGTTGACTGTCATTCTATGCCCTGTTCTATGATGATGCGTAGCGAAACGTTGCAATTTGATGGGTACATGATTTATTTTTCCTGAAGCCAGCCAGCCAGCCTATTCCGGTCGTAATCTTGAATACAGAGCATTTTTTAGTCTCTCCAGGATAATACGGCTTAATCTTTTGCTTTGGAGGGGGGCAGGAGCATGATTCCTCGCTAGTTCTTGCAAATGCCATCAATGTAACAGGCATTATGAGACGTAAGCAGCTCATACAAGTCTTGTTTACACCTCAGGTCAAAATTAGCAGAGACCATTGGCCAACTACAGACAAGAATTCATTTAATTTAGAGCAATCTAAGTGAGAGTTGACTGTAATAGACACTGTCAAGTCATCAGCATACTTAATAAAATTAGTTTCAACAGAATAAGGTAAACTGTACAAAAAGAACGAAAACATAAAAGGAGAAAGTACAGCACCTTGAGGCATACCAGCTTCAGTAAGCAATGAAGTGGAGGGCTTCCCTTTATAGACACAGTATACTGTTTCCTTTCAGAAAAATAAGAATATATCTACTTTATTACTCATGGCTCAGTATGAGCAATGACAAGCTTATTTAACAACAGTGGTCTAGGAACAGAGCCAAAGGCCGATGAGTAATCTAAAGAGTTACAACGAACATATTTAACACCTTTGTCTAAACTAGGAACAATGTTATGATGATGATGATGATGATGATGATGATGATGATGATGATGATGTTATGAAAACCATCAATGGAAGCTCAGTCACAAGAGGTGATTTCTTCATTATCTTCGAAAATGGGGAAATTATAGCAATGGGTCGAAACATAACATCTGATTCAGAAGATGACTTAAGCACAGGTACAACTTTGATCTCCTTCCAGGCATCGGGTATTATGTTTTTAGGAGACGATGCATTGAGAATTCCTTTAAGGGGATAACATAAAATATCTGCACATTTTCTAAATATAATACTAGAAACATAATCGGGATCTGAGCTTTGGGATGAATTCAAGGATTTAAAACATTTAAATACACCATTTGTATTAAAACCAGGAAAGTGGTTGTCCATTTGACTTTGAATATTTGGAAGGATGAAATCACGCTTGTCGAACCGGTTTGAATCGGTTACTCTAAGAGTAACTGTTTATGCTTTACATTTCCACTAACCAAAAGAAACCAGCCACTTAACAGTATTTAAACATGGCTACAAAATGACAATACTACTATTGTAAAGAAGTTCACTTACGTGGTTTATTGCGTTGACCACTATTTCCAGTCGACTTTGAGCCACAATTTCTCCCTGAAGATTGTACGTCTTCATCATCCTGTTGTTCATCATCATCATCAATGTATTCTTCATCATATTCTTCATCTTCTTCTTCCTCCTCCTCATCTTCCATATCTTCTCCATCATCATCAACTTCATCATCCCCTTGAGCATAATCCCTGCTAAGAATTAACCAAAAGGAAATAAAAATAAGTGGATTAAAACTTTATTATTATTATTGTTTCGTAGACTTCAGGGGTAAAATTTAACCTAATAGAGTTGAATGAGCTAAGCATTGGGTAAATATATTTGCAAAATCCCAGTGAGGTTGAGAAATAAATTTATGACGTTTCAAGATCGTATGGGAGTCACTTTTTCAAAGAATAAAATATGTACAAGATATCGAATGTTTAAATAATAAGTCGTGGCAAATCAGATCACGTTGTTCATATACACGATGGGCATAGTTTACATCCTTATCAGCTAATTGTCCACGATTTCAAGGTGATGTGTATGTATGTGCAGATGTGAGAAAAGTACTATGGATGAAGAATTCAATTTGTGTATGCGTTTTGCAATGATTAGTGTATTTGACGTGTTATTTTACACATAATTTCCAAGTTGGTTGGATACTAAGACCTTCCTTTCTGTAGAGTAGATTAATATTCAACACGATATGAAATGCCTTAACAATCAGTCTTTCTTTGTAGTTTGAATAACCTATTTGAATAATTTTAATATTTTCAGTATCAATTTAGTGACTATGATAGAATGTGTTAACAGTGTAATTTCTGATTTGATTTGTAAACTGTCTACTTCTAGAAGATTATTTGGCGGTCATTTTGTGTAACTAGTATGTTCTTTAATAAAAATAAGGATCTTGTGGAATGACTCCCCAATATTATAAGTATCACAATCGACATAGCCTAATATGTAAACACAATTCTTTGTGGAGGTAAAAGGAGTTCTATCTTTTACGTGAACTAAAGCATTCTTGAGAGTGTTAGTCGTCTTATAGAAGGCTCTAATTCTGTGTTTTCTTAAGATCCTTTGTAGCTCTTCAATTGTACTATAGCGAAATGGTAGAAATACTGTACTGATCCAGGACTCATCAGATGATTTTCTTCTTAGATTCTTCTACTCATAGTGTTGAATCTTTTAAGCAATATTTTTAGGGTAGTTATTGGAATATGATACATCTATTACATTTCTTACTTATGTTTATCTCTCATCTTTATTTGTGATGAGCTTTATAACTCTCCTTGAATGAGTTCCAAGCAGGTGAAAGTTAAGCATGAAGTGGATATGCTGAGCTGAAATCAAAATATCTATTTGAATATGTTGCTTTACGATAAATCGATAAACTTAGACTTCCATTTTCATTCCTTTTAACTAAACAGTCTAAAAATGGTAGTTAATCACTCTCGTTTTCGTATTCATGGGTAAATTTATAATAATTATTATTACTATTATTACTCACGTTACCATTACCGTAATAATAACCGTAATAACCGTAATAATAAGAATACATTACTGCATGAATTATCTCTCATCTATTTTCTTCAGTATCCTAATGGTATTCAGTTCAGTTTCAATCTATCAATCAGAATTGGAAAACACACACAAGTGCACAAATACAAGTAGACATGAGATCATATACGGGGATGAAAATGATGCTACTTTTAGGGCAATCATTTCAGTTTACTCTCGTTACCTTCGATTTTGCCTTTTGTTTTTGTGTTTATTTTATTAACTAAAAATTACATATGTTGTTTTCTATAGGTCTTTACTTTGAGTCTAATTTTCTCCATTTTTTTAAACGAAAACATTTCAAGCATATCAGGTCATACTCAAAAGATAATATCATAATGAAAGGTCATTCATTCATCATAAAATATGTGATTATTTCAGCTTCATTCTTTGCTCATATTATTCGGGCTGAAAATTTCCCTTTGAACAAAAGAGATAAGAGATAAAGTAGTTTTTTTTCCGCCACTGAATTATCTTTCCTTGTTTTCGTCTGTTGACCAAACTACTCCTTCATGCTGTAGAAAAACTGTTCGGTGAACTTTGAAGAAGTTTACGATGCATTTTGTGAATACATATTAAGACAGAAAAGATAATCATGACATACAGATGTGGAAGGAAGGTAAGTCAGTCGACAAGGCTGTGACTTAGATGACTTTGATATGTGTGGCAAATACCTAGCCACTGCCGACTTTGAAGTACGATTCCAGCCGACATTATATTCAACTGAAAGAAAGCTAAAAGTGTCTACAACAAGACATGACACATGAACATAAAGTCTTTGATTGATGATCTCAGTCGTTCAGACGGTTGTCAGATACTCAGTTGAGGCTCTTGAAATAACAAGAATAAATTCCTGAAAACTGTTTGTGATATGATTCATAATCGGTCATAATGGCGTAGATTTGTTCACTATCTGATATCTACTAAAGTTTGAACATTTTCGGTGACATTCACTTATTTCTTTTGTCTCCTTTTTACATAATTTTGTATTTAAACACCAGTGTAAAGTAAGGCAGCCTGAACCAATGCACTTCTGTGTATGGTTCTATGTTGATTTATTTGTCTATTTCATGCATGTGTATACATTTATATGCATCTGACTTTTTCCCTAATAAGTTTCAGTTTGGATTGTTGATTAATTTTGAAATTTGTATACGCTATATAAAATGTATTTGAGATTATGATTTCTACAATAAGGAAATCAAGATTGTTAAGAGAAGCCATACTAAGATGATCCACTTTGAAGTGTTTAACCTAACGAACAAATCAAAGTAGAACCTTTCAGTAAAGTTCAAAGAAAGACTATAGAAAGAGAATCTTGACCTAAATATTTCAGGTAAATTTTGTCTGTTAGACTGATCTTGACTAAAAAGAGAGTCTATGTTTTGGGGGACTCGAGCCAATGACTTTTACGTAAGTGGTTCAACACTTGACTGATAGTCATCTATTACTTATTTACACGTCAACCAAGAATGACTTTCAGTCACTGAAGTATACTCACAAACTGGCCAGAATTTTCGTTTTGATTTGAAAAAGTACATCACTGATGAGTGTGGAGTAACCAGTTGTCAAGGAGGCAATCATTATAAACTCCAGAGCACTGGATAATTGTTTCTTCTAGGTTAAGAACTTCTGTGAACTGATGACAGCATATGAAATCAAGTTCATCAAATTTACATTTAATACGGCAGTCAGTTATCCTCTAATTCCAGAGGAAACATTTTTCATATCTTAGCTCCCAATAATAATGTTGTTTAGTCGGTATTAAAGTTGCCAGGTCACAGTAATAACAATTAATCCAATGTTCTGTACCCTATTCATGATATACAGCATGAAATAGGTTCCGACTTAAACTAAAGACACCTGTTCTAAGATTGGTCAGTATAGAACAGTCAATTAGTATCAATGTGGAAACCGGCATTGATGCGTAGCCGTTCACACCTTGAATCAGTGCATCAATATGCGAGACACCAAGATGAAAGATGTAAAAATAGGAATTAAAATGCTATCAAAAGTCGTCGATATCATAAGAGAGAGGAAGAGGTGATTCAGACGTTTAGGATGAAGATAGTTAGTGGATGAATCTACATCACTACGACTGATTCTGTGACATATTGTTCAACTTTTACATGGAATCCATCTAGGAAATCCACATTTCCCTACACAACCCATATCAACTGTCAGTGATATCACAGACTGTTGACATGCTTTAGTTTTGTCCTCCTTGACCTTTTCCCAGTGTAGACCTACCCCAGTCAACACTGCACAGCAGGACAGGTAATGATTAGGCTTCAGTAATAGTTCAATAGGGAACCAGCAATCATTTAGTGTTGTGCAATGCAGTTATGTAGGTTGCCTCAGGCGATTAAATCTCAAGTTACTTCAATCAGTAAGTAATCTAAGTAAGAATTACATCGACCCCATTTATCTATACAACCCTAGACTTTGAAACATCTCACCGTATGTGAAATACGGGTGGTAAAATGTCTAAGTACTATGGCCAAAAAACTTACTAATAAAACAGAAGATTTAAATAAAAAAACCAAATACATTAAGGACACCTTACTCATCAACAATTACTCTCCTAAATTATTCGATAAGTTCCTTAGGAATCGTCGGGAAAATATGACTAATATTAGTTACACAGGTGACAATGATATTAATAATAATAATAGTGGCACTACTGTGAAGAGAGAATTCAAAATCTCTACAGTATTACCAAACAAAGAAGGCACCTCAGAGACATTACATAGGATTCTCAATAAGGTTGGCTAGGATCAAAGTGGCATTTAAACCTACAAACTCACTTAGAAATAAGCTTTGTAGGTTCAAAGAAGCCATTGATTCAATTAAGTAGAATAATTTAGTTTATGAAATCCCTTGCAACGATTTCCAGGTGAAATACATTGATGAAAGTAGTTGAGCAGCGTCAATTAGGCTGTCTATCCAGACACAAAAGCCTTGGTAGATGAAAAGTGATAAGGAATTAAGAAAACGCTCGGTCATAGCTATCTATTCAATTAGGCACAACCATACAGTATGATGGGACAGGGTGAAAATACTTGAAATTAACATAGCACGATGGAGGTAGAGATTCATAACTGAAGGGGAGGGGGAAGGGCTAAGGAAATTAGGAATATATAAAAGATGAAGTACCTACTGTTACTGCCTATTCTATGCGAACATTTGCAATTCTTCAAATAATAGAAAGACTTTCATCTCTTTTTTTTCAGTATTCAAATATATAATCTATGTGATTACAAGTATCAGTACACAAACTTACGCTCTCACAAGTAGCTCCGTTTCTTCGGATACCTGACTTATAATTGCTTGAACTTCTTCAAATGTTTTACCAACTAAAGGAATTGAATTCCATTCTAGTATCTCGTCACCTGTATACATAAAATAGAATGAAGTCGGTGTACAGAAAATTGTGATTAGTTCAAACGATCAAATTTTACAATTAACAGGCTACTTTGTTTGGCAATGCTAAAAAATATCCACTTCATGTTTGTAAATATATTAACATTTATGTACCGATGCTGCAGATAGCGAGACAATTTAAAGTCAGTAAACAGCTTTGTTCTGTGCTATTTTGGTGAGTTTTGCAACATTCTTAATGAAAACAGAATCTACATTAATTCATAACAGTTAAGGTCAATCGGTCAGACGTTTTCTGACCATAGCTGTCTAATGGCTTCAAACACCAAGGTGTTATCCCCTATGCCACTGGGGTATGACAGACACCTCTTGTGCAACAGGTATCAATCTTTGTTCGAGTTTTAGTAGGAACAACACTACTCACTTGAATGCCGGTACATCCAACTGACGACCCCAAAGTAGGTCGAAACATGCGTTTTGAATTCCTCTGCTGGTCATCAAGATAAACATGACATCGCAAATATTTAACAGGATCGAAGAATACGCTTAGAAACACATCTCTCAACAGAGATGGAGCATTTCGACTCTGTATAGCAACGGTAAATTACATATATCGGACAAAAACAGTTAATCGGTTAACCATTTTGATAGACAGCAATGTTGTTTTGAATTGACTGGTAAGTGAAAAGTATCCAGCTTCATGTTGTCTGTTCATGTTGAGGAATGCCAACAAACGTGAAGCCTAGATCAAAAAGGTTTTTCTCTGACTGCCTCCAACTAACTAACATCCAAGACTATGCACCACTTTAATGAGTCTCTTAGCCTGGTTAGAATTCAGTTACCACTTAGTACCAGACAATATGAACTTTGTTTACTGCTCAGTGACCAATCAACGTATACAATGCAGTTCCAAAGAAGGCCGATCTCTTCTCAAATAGCTCATTAGTAAAGTCTGTGACTGCAGTAATGGGTGATGGGGGCTGGAACTCTGTAAGGGACATCGTTCTTCTCTGGATTGCGGATATTGCATGTTGATGAATGCACACAGGCAGTGCTTCTTGCTAATTGTCTCCACCCCTTTAACATGAATATCGTTCTGTCTAGTCCGAAGTGTTAACCTTATTCGATCGAAGTAGTCAACAGGTAAAATTTAACTTCTACATACCCTATGAGGAACAAGAATTCACCAGATAACTGTAATTTAATTGAAATTTGAGTAAAGGTAATCAACTTCGATAAAGTTTATCAATGATTTTCACATACACCTGAACTGAATAAGAAAGCTATTTTATTCAATAAATATTTGGTTTCCCTCGTTTTTTGTATCGCCTCAGTGTGTAATGTAGTCTGGTCTCATTACCATTATTTTAGGTGGCTTATGGTTGTCCCTAATGATCAATAAGCAATCTATCGAATGAATATACCACACACACACACACACACACACACACACACACACACACACACACAAGGGGAAAAGGATAACTCAGCTAAGATTTACGAATTCACTTCGTGCTTTGCTGTACTGTCTACGCTGTAAATGCGGTCAAGGTTAACTCGTTGCTATCTTTTTTTCACTTATGATCTCTTTTATAAGTTGTTTTTCACAAGTTATCTAAGTTCATTACTCTTCCTTTATTTGTCAAGATGTCCTCAAGTTAAAAAACGATTTGTCTAAGTCAGTAATAATTTATAGAGAATACTCAGTTGATAGTTCATGTAGAAAGTAAAACGTTTTACTTTTTCCAAGTTAAATGAGAATGAATTATTTATTTCATGAACTTCTGGAACGAAACGTAATCATCCATATAAAGGATTTCCGTATAGAGTTCGTTTGCTTCATACTTAGTAGATATTTGGTTATTAAAAAATATTAAAACTCTTTGGCTAATCAAATTTTAGTCTCATTGATTTCGATATTATAGCTAATGGCTAGCTAGTGGCCTAGTGAATAATATTTTTACGTTTGAAGCGATGGGTACTGGATTTGAGAGTTGGTGGGAAAAACATCACTCAATGGGATCTGGTTGACGTGTCTCTAAAAAACAAAATATGCGTCTTGGACTCCACTGCCAGTCACCAAGATGAATACTGCATCTAAACTACACTATACCCGTAACATGAGGGGTGATTACCATGACTCAAAGGCCTACAGGATAACACTGTGGCGTTCGATGAGATTTTTTCTAGAAACAACATCACTCATTGAGAGGCAGGTACATCTGACTGGTGAATCCTTAATAGGACGAAACATATCCCCTGGATTCTACTTCTACCCACTACTCATCATCATTTTAAATAATGTTATTCTGTCAATGTGTAGTATAGTTCAGTGAAGTAAACTTCATTACTGAAACACGTGAAAGTGTACCGTTACGTTCAATACTTAAAATGAACAATTCACCATGAGATCGCGAAGTGCCCAACTGAATTTTTTCAGTCAGAGAGAAATTAGATTAATTATTAGAGTACGCCTAATTATTTCAACTTTATTAATTCCATGAAAGATGTCAACAGATTTACAAGATGTATGTTAACTTCCGACACAAAATTACTCTTTACAAATGTCCCTTTGAAGAAATCTCTGTGCTTTTTGTGTAATTTTATTGAGATCAATAACCTTGAAATTAGTATTCCGAAAAGTTAATAGGTTGTGGTAGGAATGGGTTCACCAGTGGATTCTCTCCTGACTGACTGCTTAAAAGCTAGTTTTGAATATACTAAACTATTTGCAGTGGTCGGTCACCTTCATCTGTTGAAATATTCATCCATTGTACTTTCCTCAGCTGTGATGAGAACAGTAAGCAAGAAGCAATACTGAAGAGGCTGAACGACAATCGTTAGTCAAATAAGTCTATGATGGAACATGATATAGACTAAGTATTTCACTTTTTTGACACTACTGGTATGATGACATGCCTTTTCTCTAAGGAGATTGATTAAGGGAAAAGGAAGCTAGAACGGACAGTGTATCGATTTTCAAAGATACGTTTCACTCGGTAACGAAAGAAGTCTAACTCATTCGCTGCCTACAATGGTAAGAATAATTCTCACAGATGACACAATGAACGAGGAGCTTGACGTACTCCAAAAACTGTTCATCGACAATCGATCTAAAGGACAAACTACCGTTTTAAGCCACATCCTTATATGTCTAGAAGTTTATCTAATCTTTTGGAGCTACTAAAGTAGACCTCACTAAGTGAGTTTGACCCAAACACCCCTCCCAACACTATCCTGCATGGTTCTTTAGCTGGGAATGGAAATTGATCAATAGCTTGATTCTTGAATATCTGGTTAATTTTTTTCACTCAGCCTTATCTGGACCTTTCTTTAAAGTCACTCATAAAGTCAAATGAACCATTTTCAAGGGAGTATAGACTTATCACGTGAAGATTCCAGAGACCTTGGGAATTTATCAGTTTGAGAAGTGTTCACCCCATCCTTAATTTTACCTTGGTCGTTATCGTCGTATAACTTCTTCCACTCTTATCAGTAAAACAATTTCATCCTCTTTCCCCTACTCCATTAATGTTATTCTTAAGTCTCCTATTACTATCCCATTTTTCTTACCGCTTGCATAACTTTTAAACAATCAATAGGGTTACGTGATTCATTTTCGAGAGTAGACTGAAAATTTATCTCCGAAGGCAACAGGAACCTGCTACACTCACCATGGTCATTAGATTACACAATTCCCTAGTAGTTCTAGAAACATTATACAAATACGAACATTTTTGATGACCCCCTGTGTTTAACTTTCAGCCACTGATGGACATATTGCAGATGTACAGATTCGAAAAAGGAATTTTCTTCCTCAACTGTTAATCCTTCATGGCTCAACGAGGTTCTTCAGTCGTTTGGAATATCTTAAAAGTCACAAGTTAGGACGAAATCTTTGTCCAGTGCTCCCAGGCGCTCAATGGTTCTCCAACTTATGTCACTCCACGATGAATACTACCTTGAAATCAATAAAATCTCCGTAAACCTCCAAAATGAATTAACATCTATGGCTTATTAGTGACTTGTTTCCAAATGGAATTTCCTGAAGTCCTAATGAGAAATTGTAACCGGTTGGGTCAACCCAGTTGGACGTAAGGACTTTTCATATACCAAAGTAATTCATATGACACAATTTTAACAGATAATATTTGAAGTCGATTTTTAAACGTGAAAAAGGACAGATGCAGATGCGCAGAAGATTATAACATAAATGTTGAGATACTGACCCCCGTTACAAGGAATTGTCACTCAGATGCACATTCAACGTTCAGTTCACACTTAACGACGTGATTTATGGACAGAAAACTGGAATTATTATGGGTTTCCCACTAGGTCCACTACTAGTAAACTGCTTTAGGGTCAGTTTATAGAATGGACCCTGAAAATCAACGACTGAGGGTTTTCACCTTTACAAAAGGTATATGGACGATACTTTTATTATCTGTGACCATCAATATGATTTGAATCATGTTCTACAAATATTCAATAACTGTAACTCAGTAAGTAGATTCACCTTCGAGGTCGACAATTGATAGAAAATTCTTTTTCTTGATGGAGGACTGACAAGAACAGCTGACGGGACGTTGAGTAGATCAGTAGCACAATCGCAATATTCATCTAGCTGCGAAGAATCGGATAGCAAACTACTTAGTGAGTATTATGACACTATGGATCTATTAGGTGTAATCTCGTCAACCTTAGGATTTTCAGTATCTAGAGCTGACAAGAACAGCTGATGGAACGTTAAGTAGGCCAATTCATAAAAAGCCAATGTGGAATGGTCAACTGACGAACTTTAATAGCTCTCATTAGACGAATCTGAAGTTCCGAGGTGTTAGAAGAAGACATTTCTGTTCTAAAGAACATCCTAATTGAAAACGGGTCCTCACCGCGCTTCATAAACAAACACATCAAACCTAAACCTCACAAAGAGAACCTCACCACCGTGCCAAAAGAAACACTCTGTATGAATCTCAACTTCAAAGGTGATTCTGCCACTGACCCTGTGAAAAGGAGGATATCAAACACTGTAAGGAGAACATTATTTGCATCAAACGCTGAGACTAGTATTCTCCTGTCACCCAACGATTTGTAACAACTCAGAGGAGAAACTTTCACATCTGACCACTTCTGTGTGTATACATCGGTTCAGGTACTCATGTGGAGCCAGGCATATAGGTCGTTCGATGCGACTTTTTTGGAAAGGGGGGGTTAAGAACACTATCCTGCATGGTTACAAAGAAGTAAGAATGGAGCGATAAGGAGTGCTATAATTGAGCACATCGTGAACACGAATCACGCTATATCAATAAGCTCCTAGTTCAAAGTCATGCAACATGTAAAAAGAGGCGTTTCAAAGGCTGTATGTCTTCGTATTCTGTGCCATGCTTGACAAACCGTTTTTAAATATCAAATCCTCACACTAAAAAAAAGTGTACAAATTTCACACTGTACAGACTTTTATAAGATCAATTTTTACTTCAGAAATGCACTTAGCATATGGTTGGTAGATATTGCATACTGATGAGCTTCGATAGTATGTCACTTTACAGTCACTATGACATAGTTTCGTTCAAGGATATGCAATCATAAGAGAAAATAAAATCTGGAATTCAAAGACTTTCTCAATCATTGCACAGTTCATTTGTTTTCTCAGCTATTTTAAATACTACTGCGTTTGTTGTTATTTTAAACAAAAAAATATCCGACACAGTATAGGCATCAAGCAAGACAGCAGCATGTAACGAAATATAACGACATAATTAAGTCAGAGGTGAAAAGTTGTACTTCAAGAAAGATAGAAAACGATTGATCACGCACATGGTACCATCAGATACATTCAACAAAGCTTTACCAAAATCTTGGTCTAACTAAAAAAAGGAATAAAAGAAAGCTATAACATGATCGTTAATGGTTTTGATACTCAACCGTGTGTGATATTATTTCTCGCCACTTAGTTGCATGATCATTTAGAGTCATGAAGTGATAAGAGATGTTAGTCCAGTGCAACTGTACCTCATTTCACATCATATTAAACACTATAAACGTCTTCACCTCTTCTAGTGCTAGATTTACCAGATGATAAACGTTTAAGAAGTATCTGTAACTGCATTTGTAACTGTAATTAAGCCACCAAACACGATGATTTGAGATGACATATGTGTTAAGCTTTTTGAATCTCACTAGCTCTCCATTCAGTATCAGTCCTAGCTTCTTATTTTGTCATGATAGGAGCCAACGTTAGGCAATTCTGAAGTCTGGGTATTTTACTCGAGTCATAAAGGAAGAAAGTCTTTAGTGAAAGAGTAAGTTTATCTTTGGTGATGTCATTTTCAGAAGTTGTATAGTCGTAACTAAATAATTCATTAGAGTGCACATTTCGTGGTGAAGGGAACCTCAATACTGACCAATCAATAGTTCAAAATGCAAAAAGTGAAAGAATTCAATTAGATTAAGGGATACACAATATTAAAAAATTGAATAAGGAACGTGAATGGGAAACCGACTTTTGAAGGGACATTTCTAACTTCCACTCTTTTACTGCTAAAGCTTCAGCAATGTATATTAGATGTCAATTTACACCTTTTTAAAGCTTCTTCTGAACTCTGTGGAGAAAATGAAACCAATCTAATATTATGTATTCGCTTTCAACTAAATATTAGAGGGTGTTCCGGTGGACATTGGACAATCTGCCTCTGCATGCGGCCGAAATACCCAGCTCTACAGAATCAGATGAACTCAAATATAGGCATTGAAACACATGACAATGGTGGTTTGCCCTTTGCACATGTCTTCATCACTGAAAGGCTATCCAAACTCACCTCTAAAAACTATCTTGAATAACTGTGTAGATAAGGGTGTTAAGCGATTAATAGCTAGATTATTGAGCATCTGGTTAACTCTAGTCACTCTGCTCCACCAGAATCTTCCTTGGAAGTAATTTATAGAGTCAAATCGAACATTTTGAAGGGGGGAGGAGGCGGATTCACCAAATGAACGTTTCAGAAACCTCAGAAGTTCATCAGTTTAAGCCTGATCTCTGAGTTTAAAAGGGATATTTCCAATCTCTAATTCTACCTTGGTCGTAATCTCCTTATTTTATATATCATATTATTATTTTCACCTTCCTTCCTCTGTAATTTTCAGTTTCAACAAGACTATCTTCGTTTTTCCAACTGCTCTGTTTGTTCTTGAACCATTGCATAATCACCTTGTTATAACCTCGAACTGACCTTCCAGAATTATTACTATTTTTATTATTCGTCCCTTGGGTTCCTAGTGGAACATAGGGCTACAGTAGCACGTCGACATTTCACTGTCGTCTCTGCAGTCTTTTCAATTGGATTCCACCACTGCCCAGAAGCTTCCATTTCTTCCTCACACCATCTCCTACATGTCACCCTCAGACGACCAGCTAGCCGTTTCCCATTTCACTTCTACCTGATAGCCTGGCCCAACCTGGCGCGTGATGTCCCCAAACTGTTTTCTCACTGTTTGTCCAGTCCATTCCAAATCACTTCTGCATGTTTGTTGGATGATAGGTTCTCGGTTGGTTCGTTGCCACCTAGCCAGCCAGAGTGAGTTCCTTGTTGCTTATTCTTATTATTCTGGTCGTCTGATCTGATCTTCAGTACCCAGTGAGCGTAGGTGGCAGCTGTTCGTATATGTTTGCAGTCCGTTGGAAATGTTTGTCTTAACGCGCCAAGTCTCTCAACCATCACATAGGGCACTGACTTGACTGACATTAGTGATGAAAATCCGGATCATTGTTCACGCTTTATGCTGAGTGAAGTGGAGTGAAGTGCAGTGGTGTGCAGTGGAGTACAATGCAGTGCAGTAGATCTCCATACTGATTTCAGATTAATGAAGGAAGGCCTGTCTTTCTGACTTTCAGACCCTGGCTTTGACATCAGCATCTGTGCCGCCACTGCCTGCAGTTGAAATGACGTTGCCTAGGTAGGTAGGTGAAAGAGGCAACTTCCTCTAGATTTCCTTCGTTGATGGTGACTGGTGTTTGTTGTTGTTGTTGATTGAGTATCTTCGACATTCCCGAAATTACTCTGTAATCTCGTAAACAGTTTTTAATTATTCAGTTTGGAGGTCTATGGGAATTTAATAATTTCAAGTAGGTACTCATCACATAGTGACTTCAATTTGAGAATCAGTGAAAAAAAGGCGCTGAGCAGCTGTTTTGTCCCATTACATGACTCCTGGGCAGTGGACACCCATCTCTGATGGAATCAAGTGTGCGCACTCCAGAGCAGTCCCATACTGGGGCGAAACAGCTGTTCATTGTCCCCCAGGTATTCAGTGGTTCTGCAACTGATGTCATTTCTTCATGAATACCAGGCTTGGCTCTCTAGCCGTAATCACCGTGTAACTCTATTGACAGTTTTCGATGATGAAAATGATTTGTTAAAAAGAATATTTTCCTTGCTGAATAGTCTTTTGTTAATTTTTCATATTCCAATTCGATTGTTTCGATGTTTGATATAACTGTGTCAAAGAGTTGCGGGACAGAATGCCCTCTCAGCAGCTTTCATTACTCAAAGTTACAGGTTATCATCTGCTGTATCATCGATAAGTAACAAGTTAAAAAGTAGTTTCTTTTTACTTACAATGGCGCTGACTGACGCTTTTTGAATCATATATCTGTTAACACATCCTTTCGAGTATTGCTATATACTCTCATTTTTGAAGATGCATAATCAACTCAAGGGAAGCTGAAGGTTAAGAAGAAGAAGCTTTTACCCAGGCGAAGATCTGATCGTAAAAGAACTCGAACATTACACTTCTAAATTGACCCGAAAAGACAGAGGCACTAAACTTTGTCGTTGTACCTGTTCATTTCCTTTTGAGAGGGAGGTGCTACATACCCTTAATTTTGCACAGCTTCCCCTACTGTTTTGTCCATGACCTTAAAATAACCTACATGGCTGTTTTCACACTGTTACTAGTTATACCTTCTCTCTATTCCCAAGGCTGAATTCTCATTGATTGTTAACCATGTGTGGGTTTAGTGTTGTCAGGGTCATTTAGAAATGTATATATTCAGCACCGCTGTCAACTGTATTGACTGCTGTTAAGACAGTAAAGCTGTCTGTTGACACTTTCTCTTCTCTTATATTCGCGTACTGGTGGTATTGTTGTGGCAGTGGTTGGCGTTCTGATTTGTATTAGAGTCGATTTGTATGCACGTTAGGTTCCCATCGTTCTGAGTCTGATAGGTTCATATCGCTTGCCATACTACTGCTCATAGCAACTATCTATTTTTATGTCGTAGCAGTGAAGAAGTAGAAGCTAGAACTGTGTGTTTGAAATCAGGTTTCCTATTCTCACATCCCTTCTTTACCTCTAAGCATCGTAAATCTTCAAAGTTAACCAACTCTTCATTGTCTTTTGCATTTTGAACTATTGACTGACAAATATTGAAGTTCTTTTTACCAATAAATGTGTACACTAATTAACTATTTAGTTGCAACTGTACAACTTCTGAAAATGATATTGTCGAAGATATATTTATGCGTTGAAGTCTTGTTTCTTTCATTTTGAAGGTAAACTTTCATTTAATTGTTGAGAATCAAGAAGTAACTTCTTGCAAACTTATATGTCTAAATGGGAAATACTAGGCAGATGCAAATGAACTTTTCCTTTAAGGAGTTAGATACTGAAAGTTAATCGGTAGGAAGTCCTGTTTGATCCAGGTTTCATACTTGTTGGCACTCATCAGCATAGTCAACAAGCGAAAATAAGAAAATTGATGTTTGCTGGATGATTCATACCGATTCTACTCAGTGTTGTATTTAAAAAGTCTAAGTAATAAGCAATTCAGGTCACTTCTACAATTGGGATTCACTAGGATAACATTCGAGAAGTTAAATTCTAATTTAAACTTATAAACAATTACCTTCCTTTATCTCTCCATGAAGCTGATCAGCTGGACCAGTAGGGTAGATTTCTTCGACGAAAGCTCCTAAATTTCCATCTGATCTTATATGTCCTCCAACAATACGCATTCCAATTCCACCTCCTGTAACAGATTTTAAAGTTGATAGTTATCAAAAATCATCAAATAAAATGATAAACTTGTTTCACTAGAATCAAAATCAGAGTAAATTTAGTTCCTCAAACCACTAATTCGTTAGATATTTATCATATTTATAGATCGATAAAAATGGCAGAGCTAAGGTTGATCACTTTAGAAGGTTTAGCTGAAAAAAACCACCAATTCAAAGTTGAATCGGTGATTATGATAATAGCAATAAACAAGATATGTTATTCAGCTATTTGCGAAGCTTTCTCTGACGTAACCGTACACTAAAAATAGTTGAGGTTATTTTGATGATGTTGCATCATCTGGGCCTTCCTTGTCATTTCAGGTAACATCATCAGTACCAGCTTCAAAAAGAAGTGGTCTATGGGACAACTAATCAAAATCTATACAGAGAGAATGATAAGATTTCAATATAAACAACCAAACACATACAAGGTTATTAGAACAAGCTTCTAAGTCACTTGTGGAAAAAATCTCACAGCCTAGTTACCCCTGAAGTTTGTACTGATGATGGTATCTAGAATGACAATGAAAGCTTCCCGATTAAACCATCTAGCTTACAGAACACAACACCATCAAAACCATCCTCTGGAGCAACAAATATTCTCCATCATCTCAAGTTGAGGCTAAGCTTATCAGTCAGTTGATAAGTTTGCGTATCTCTATGTACAGAGATTAACTAAACATATATTACAAATGACTACTTATAATCGACTAAGATGTCAAATACTAGCTGGAGTAGGATTTGGCTTTAAAACCCCGGGGATTTTCAGACTATGACAGAAACGTGTATATTATTTAAGATTTCTATCTGGGGTTCTCAAAGTGTTCGGAAACAGTTATATGGAGTAACCGGAAACCATTTGGAGTTATATATATGCATCAATCATTCGTCACATATGAAGTTATGAACAACTCATCATCTGTCATATTACCTTCCCTCTTTCTAGAGATAAGTCTGGCTGCTTAAACCCCTAGGCTGTAAGATATTCCTCCGGTCTGTTTGTCTTTATGTTGACCATGTCTTTAAGGTTAAAACATACCTTTCTTTCAATAAAGAAATATCCAGAATTTTGTGTTCACCTTCTGAGATCAGTTCTCTTAGAGAACTATTTCAGTCAAATAAGGTAGAATGGGGTAGAAAGAATAGGAAATGGGAATGCTTAGAATAACGTTATGTTTGCAAAGTGAAAACTACTAACTTTTAGAAAATTGACCCAATTCATTGAATGAAAAAATCACAATGCCCCCTCCCCAACACATCTATTTTCATAATACCAACTTCTAAGGTAGATGAACTGTTTCGTTAAGTAAATGGAGTAGAACTATTTAGTGAGGGCGGGAAGATGACTAAAAATTAATTAGACATCAAAATATGACTGGACGTCATTGCTGATAGTATCCTATCAACACTAGTTGGTTACGTTACTAAGCAACAAAAATGAGTAAAACGTTCTTTAAAAACATTAATTTAACTGACAGAGGAAAGCTTCTAGCCAAAAATGTCATAGAAATTTTATGTTGACTACTTTAAAATAATGGATTTTGAAAACAAATGCAAAAAAGGTTTTTCTTTAAGAAAACTATTTTAGTTTTTAAAAAATCCCAGTTGATTATAGCACTATGATAAAACACATCTTTTTACTAGAGATAACAAACAGTATTAAAACAGAGTAGGAGGGGATAATAATTCCCTGAAGGTTGTCATAGAGACTAGTCCCAAAGACTACAAAACCTGCGTTAAGTGACGTTTCCCGCCTTTATCCGACTAACATCCATCAAAGGGCACCACGATGTTCAGCCTCCTAGTCTGGTGCACACTTTGCAAACGATCGATGGGATTCTATCTACACTCAAGACTAGGCAGTGTGAGGTTGGTTACTCTTCAGTAACCTTTCAATGTACATAGTAACATAAATTAAATAAGTTTCTAGAGCTGAGAAGTTCAACGGTGTCCACGAATAGGAGTAAATCAAACTTACATGAAGGAATTATCTAATTACTTATTGTCCGAAAAATATCTTCAAGTAGTTCTACTTCGTGAAAGTCATCAGTTACATTTTCAATAATTTCGGTTTGCTAAATCCATCCACTTTTTGACTGTATCCATTTGGTGAAGCATAACGTCATAACGAATAACAAGGTTATCTTAGTCAAATATACTACCAAGAAGAGCTTTCAATAGAGGGAGAAGCTATTTCTAATATCGTATTCGATAAGGACTTGGGGAAATCCATCTTGAATCAGGTCACAAATAAGCTGTGGACAGCAGTTAGGGTTAAACAGCTCTCCGAAGGTCCAAGGTTTTTAATGGCTCTCCAACTGAACTCAATTCGTAAGTCAAACTACTCTGACATCAATCGAACCTCAGAATCCCTCAATTGAATACCTTAGTTCCTTCATTTTCTAGGTTGATCTAACGTTGTCAACCGTTAGAACGGCTTGTATTAGACGCATATTCATGAAAACGATATTCACAATAGGTCGTGCACTCCTACTGAGGAAAAAGGCTCTGAACTCCCAGGTATCTGCCGTTACCTCCTCACCATGTACGATAAAAGCGCCTGACCTTTGTTATCCCACTAAGGCCGGCAGTACCTCACACTGACTACTCCACCATCATCAGCCCTCCTACCACCTCAGTTAGACGGTGGCACCCAGACACTTCAACCCTTACTACCTACGTAGTTAGAAGACGACTGAAAATCTTATTTAAACTACTGATATACTTGAAGTAGCAACAACCCACTCAATCAGATTCACTTACATATGAAATTTCAAAAGATTAAAAGGTGATAGTGTACACTGGTAGTTCACAGTTTGAACTCTTCCATAGTTGAGTCAAACAGGCATAGCTAACTAATCAAACCTCATCAACTTCCGTTCATGCAGTTTAAATATACTAGACCCAGCACTCCCTGTGAAACAGCGCCTGTTTGTTCAACCTACTGAATTATTGCCGGAATCTGATTTATCAAAATTAACCCACTTGATATTATTTCTGAACAGCTTGAGTAGTTAGAAACTACTCAGGCTGATCAGTAGTATTTTGCCAGTCAGATTAGAATGATCTAAATACTGGAAGGGTGTTTCGTTCTTTTCTGGTCGAGCTCATCAGCCTGGATGGCTTCAAAATACTCAAGTTGTACAGATGTGGTATCTTTCACTAGTTCATGACACTTTTTAGTCAAAGATTACACTTTGTGATCTCATCTGAGTGGACAGTTGAAAAACTGTTCATCTGTGAGTAATATTAATCTGAACCATGGAATTTGTAAATCATTTACAAACCGATTAATCAGCCTGAAGTTAGGAATTATAAATTGAAATTAACCAACATACCACTTCACTCGTTTTCTCATTCAGTCGAATACTGCAGACTGTTATAACTGAAGCCTAAACTCAATCACTGCCTCACTTTAAGTACAGATAAATTGCGCAGTGATTTTAATCATACATCGACACCACTGAGATAAACATTTACGAGAAAGAAGTAGTGTGCGATTGTTTACTCTGCTTTTAGACTTTTTAGTAGATCATGACGACGAAATTACATAGGAGGTGATTCCTAGAACGCTAAGTTTGATAACAAACACCTTGATGATAGTTCCTGTATGATAAAGTTGAATTATAACTATGTTATCACTTCTTTGTTGGTCAACAGTTTATTGTTTTCTTCGGTAAACTGAAAATCCAATGACTTGAAGATGAAAATAATACAGTAAATTATCGTTATCAAGAAACGATGGGGAAAACGTTTGACCGAATCATAAAGTTGTTTATTTCAATATACCTAACGTACAAGTCTGCATTGTAGCATTCTCTCACTCATAGTAAAACATGTGAAAAATAATTCCTTTCAAAAAGAATAATGATTAAAAACAAAAATACTCCTACTGCCTACCTTTCTGATGTCTATCCTTGGATTCTCGCATTAATAACAGTCGCTTTGTTGGGAAATCATATGTACATTTTGTAATTGGCATTGATAATTTAGTTTTCTGTAGTGAAAAACAGAAAAATGCTTTTTAAAAGTCATAGATTTGATTCCTTAATATATATTCAATTGTTAATTGAGACGTAACTGTAAAACAACACAGTCAGAGATCAATACAATAATTCTCCTCATTCCAGTGATTACAGCAGTGGGTTAATAGACACTGAAAAAGTATATCAAAGAATATCCACTTACTTCAATTCTATCGACAACACCGCAATCATTATATAAATAATTGATTTTGTTGTAGCAAAGAATGTCAATAAATAATAATAACTAACACCATCTGTAAAAGATATGGCGGTTGAAGCGATTGGTACGATGTTCAGGTCTCAGTGAGAACACCATCATTCACAGGAAGTGAAGGTACATCCGGTTGATGAATGTCAAATAGAATGGAAAATGTGTTCTGAATTTCACTACTAACCTAAATCAAGTCACTTGTAGCAATAAACATTCAGGCATATGAGCATATATGACAACAGTGGTTGATCAAGTCGGTCGAGTATAACACAAGAGGACTTCAAGTGAATGTGGAGAAGACAGAGGTGATGAAGATACCCAACAAACGCCATCACCACCACCAACAAACTCCAATCACCATCAATGAGAGAAACCTAAAGGAAGTAGTCTCTTTCACCTACCTACCCATCTAGGCAGCATCGTTTCAACTACAGGCAGCGGTAGCACAGACGAGAAGGTCAAAACCAAGATCAGAAATACAGCAAGACAGGCTTTCATCAATCTGATTTCAATGTTGAGATCTACTGTACTCAACACAAGGAAAGAGATTAGGATTTTCAACACCAATTCGGTCAAGTCAGTGCTGCAATATGCTTCAGAAATTTGGCGTATCACGTAAAGCATTTCCAACAAACTACAGACATTCACAAACAGCTGCCGCCTACTCTAGCTCACTCGACACTGAAGATCAGATGACCAGAATAATGAGAATAAGCAACAAGGAACTCTAGATGGCTGGCAACGAACCAACCAGGAACCTATCACCCAACAAATATTCAGAGGAAGAAAGTGTAGATGGACTGGATTGGGCATACACTGAGAAAGCTGACTGGGGACATTACGCATCAGGTAACACCAGGCCGTCGAGTGGATTTCAAAGGGGAAACGACGAGTTGGGCTTCGGAGGCGAGGGTGACATGGAGAAGATGGTGCGAAGAAGAAATGAAGGGTTATGGGCAGTGGTGGAGCCAGGTTGAAAAGACTGCAGAGAAGAAAGTGAAGTGGTAACGTGCTAGTGAAGTCCTATGTTCCACTAGGAACCCAGGGGGAAGATATTAATATTAATAACAATTGAGACATCTGTATAGAAGCACTTGTGACAATAGTGGTTGACCAAGTTGGTCCAGTATAACACAAGAGGATTAAAAATATCAACAAATAATAATTATAAACGTACGTTTTAATATAGTCTTAGAAAATGAAAACTAAATTTTTCTGAATTCTTAACCATTCCTGCTACAGCTTCTTCAGCAGACATCCAAACGTCAGAAGAAATCTTTTTTTGATGCTCTGATGTACTGGGGTTATATTAAAACTAGACTAATACTATGATGAATAAATCAGAATTGATGCTCAGTTTCTTCCAGAACATTCGCAGAAACTATGGAATGGATGTTCATAATATATACCTCAACTTCAAAGAAACGTTTAAGCAGTTTATCAAGTTTCCTACGTAAATAACAGAAAAATGGATTTATCTTGGTCAGAAGATATATTTTCATATAAACATCTTCTCTAAAGTCTTGGTTGTATTGTGTTCTCTGAGGTGGATTGCTTAATCATGAAGCTTTCACCGTCTTTCTAGACGTCATCATCAGCACTAACTTCAATACGAAGTGAGCTGTCAGTGTCTCTCTGTGAGTGATCAAACCCTCAACTATAGTAGACACAACCCAACAACACTCAGACTTTATTCAGAAGATCAAGAAGGCACTGCAGTTCAACAACTTAACGTGGATAACTATGGACATGAATTCAATTTTGACAATGTAAAAATCTTGGACAGAGGAAACTCAAAGAATATTGCAGAATCTCTAGAAGCTTGGCATTCAGGTCAGTCAGTAATCAACAGATGAATAGACATAAACCCAATCTATTCGTCAAAAAAAACATAGAAAGGTCAAGGATCAAGTAGAAGAACAGCTAACAAGAAAAGCTCTTCAGTCATTGACACAACAATCAAAGGAAGCAACCAACAACAAACCAGTTAGTTAGGTCAAGCTACCGAATCACTCATGGAGAGATAATGACAGCTCATTTCATCTTGAAGTGAGTATTGACAACGTTGTCTGGAAAGACAATAGGACCTCCACGATTAAACACTCCAGCACAGAGAACATATTACAGCCAAGATCACCCACCGGAGCTACAAATAGTCTCCACCCCTTCCATAGTATTCTGCCAGTTCCAGCAACACTAAGATTTCATGATTGTTTTAGTACTTCAGTACCGAATATTATGTTACCTTGACCGTAACTGTAACTGTACACTGATTAGTCATTGAAGAATAACCAATTTCATGTTGTTCAATTCTGACTACTAACCAGGTTCTATCGACCATTTTAAAAACTAGTAGAATCACCATCGCAGAGTACTTCGATTGATTTTAATTAGTCAGATTGCCGCCAAGCAACTAATGCCTAGAATTCTTTCTGATAAACATCCACGAATGTTGTACCAGGGTTTATATATTTCCGCTAACATAGACGAAATTACTGATTTGATGATTGAAGGTGCATCTTAAGAACAAGTGTTAAGAAGTACGCAGTAGCTTGCAGGAAGTTTCTGCGAGTTACCTTCAGCCAATGCATGACTGCATAGGGTACAATAAAATACCGTTACCTAGTTTACTAGCTGGATTGTGCACTTGAAAGAAAGTCTTGTCAGCTCTATATGATGCAGATTGCGATATAAATTACCATGTACTAGGTGAATAGGATGATGAGAGCAACCAACTCTATGTCATCTAGTCCTGAGCGCTGAGCGGATTCTTTCAATCTTTTTGCACTGTGGCCACCAGGCTGGGAGGTTTACTACTGTGGTGTACTTTGATGGATGTCACTTGATTGGAAACAATCAGAAGGAATGCCCGATTGACCTAGGTTTCGTGCTTGTTGTTGGTCATCAGTAAGGCATGTCTGCAGCCGTGTGGGAAATGATGTTCCTTCTGAGATTCAAACTTGCATCACCCAGTGTTGCAGTCAGTGATGGGTTCGAATCTCAGAGAGGACGTCAGCGTTTTCGAGATCACACACACGCCTTGGTGAAAATTGCTAACGAGCATGAAACGTAGGTTCAGTAGGGCTTTCTCTCGATTACAATCAACTAACTAATGCGAATAATTCTGTTTGCAGCATTCTAGGGATCTATTTATTGACTCTAGCTTGGTATTCATCACAAACTGACATCAGTTGGAGAGAAATTGGAAACCTGAGGGCAATCGACATCTGTTTCACCCTAGTATAGGACTTTTCAGCAGTGTGCACTCACAACCCTACCAGGGATGGAACCGAGGACCTTCAGATTCTGCGCCCAGTATGTTACTATTAAGCCACTGGGTCAGGATGCAGCAATCTACAGTTTCCTAATTCTGTCAACTCACGATATTGTGTGACCTGCATCCAATAATAAGAATAACTAATCACACCATAGCGATACACTCCATGAGAGTTCATCATAAAATCAAATAAGTTAAAAATTCATTATAAGCAATAGTCCAGTGAACATCTACTTCACCTTAATACACTGCTCACCAGTTTTTAGTATTCATCTCCTCAAGAAAAAAGTAAACTAAGAGGAATCAAGTCTTTCGACTTGGACCTCATCTGAAACAACTAATTACAGCTGATTTATTCAGCTGCAGTTCATGAGGCAGTTGGAATTGATTATTGAAAAGGAGTTCCAGTGGCTTATAAGTATCTATACTTTATCTTTATGTAAGTCTTAGTTACCAACTCATTAACTGCTTGTTTTCTTAGTCTCTTTATTACATTTTCTTACCGATTCCTTATCGTTGGAAACGATAAGAGTGAATAGGCTGAAAACATAATTAGCAAAGAATTAACTTCTAGTAATAACAATACGTGGCAACCTTATAATGAATGATCCCTAACCAATCTTATCCACGTTTGTTTTTTGTCTTCGTTCTTCTTCAATGTTTTCACAATTCACCTCATTTCTATTCGTAGTATACCACTCTTAAAACTGTCAACAAAGATACCGCAATAAATATTAATCAGACGAAATCTTATGAGCAGCATGCATGAAACTATTATAATTCTGAAATCGTTATGTTTTCCGTTGGTTTCTTCTATGCTTCTACTTTTTATAGTTCACAATAAAATGGGGTAATACTCCATTGTCTCAGGTGTTACACTGGTCTTATTTATCCACTTCTTGAAACTTAACTTCTCCCTAATCATCTCTAATAGTTAAAGGTTTAACGTCGAGTTGTGTAAACGTTGCGTTACAAAAGGGATTTCCAACAAACTATAGACATCCATCAACAACTGTCTACGCTTGCTCGTTAGTGAAGCTCAGACGGGCAGAAATAATAAGCAACAAGCAACTCTGGCTGGCTGGCAACGAACCAACCAAGAACCTGTCGCTCAACAAATATGTAGAAGGAAGTGGAGATGGATTGGGCATACACTGAGAAGGCCAACTGAGGACATCACGCGTCAGGCCAGTCCCTCGAGTGGAGCTCAGATGGGAAACGAAGAGTTGGGTGTCCCAGCTGAGGGTGACATGGAAGAGATCAGGTGAGGAAGAAATGAGAGCTTGTGGGCTGTCGTGGAGACAGGTTCAAAAGATTTCAGAGAACAGAGCGCGTTGAAGACGTGCTACTGAAGCCCTCTATTCCATTAGGAACCCAAGGGACAAATAATAATAATAATAATAATAATAATAATAATAATAATAATAATAATAATAATGATAATATGTAAACGAAATGTGCATAGTATCACTTACATTATTTTGTAGTGAACTAAATGCAGGCCATGTGTTTGCGACATCTGTCCAAGAATCAGAGATTCGTGTATTATCTATACAAAGGAATTTTAAGAAAGTGGGAATAGTAATATCTATGTAAACAGCTTAGTAACAAATAATTTACAAACATACGCAAACACAGAAAACTTTTTTTGGGAAATTGTTGATTACATTATCGAAAACAAACTCAATTTATATTTTCCATCCAACTTTACCATTTATTATCTTCCAGTTTAGCAAATGGTAAATAGCCTTTAAATGCTTTTTTTCGCCTAGAATATTAAACATACTTGTCAATGTCAAGTGTATGAATGCCATTTAATAACTATCGGGTAGAAGATAGGAAAGGTTAATTATATCAGTAACACACTACAAATAACGATGAACTGGATCATGCAACGGACAACTGTGGGGAGCGAGAAGATGGTCATACGGTGTCTGACCGATGAAAAGACCCTAGAAGAAGATTTGTATTTCGCCAGTGATGATGATTTATGTCTAGTGTCTTGTTGCAAACTTGAAGAGCTACAGGCAAAACCTAACAAGTTGGCAAAAGAGGCAAAGCGAGGCAGCGAAGGAAGATAGGAATTCAGGTGAATGTAGAGAAGACAGAGGTGATGAAGATACCCAACAAGCAACAGCATCAACAACAAGCACCAATCACCACCACCAGCAGAAATCTAAAGGAAGTAGTCTCTTTCATCTACCTACCTCCCTAGGCATCGCTTCAACTACAGGCGGCGGTAGCATAGATGTTGATGTCAAAATCAGGATCGGAAAGACAGCTAGAGAGGCTTTCATTAATGTGAAATCACTGTGATCTACTGCACTACAGTGTACTCCACTGCACACCACAGCACTGCACTGAACTCCATTCAGCATAAAGAGTGAACAAGATCCGGATTTTTATCACTAATGTCAGTCAAGTCAGTGCTCCTATGTGATAGTTGAGAGAAAAGCATTTCAAACGAACTACAGACATACATGAACAGCTGCCACCTACGCTCCTTCACTCGCTACTGACACTGAAGATCAGATCGGATGGTCAGAATAATAGGAATAAGGAAAAAGGAACTCTAGCTGACCTGGCAACGAACCAACCAACAACCTATCGCCCGACAAATATACAGAAGAAAATGGAAATGGATTGTATTGTATTGGACATACAGTGAGAAGACGGTTTGGGGACATCACGCGCCAGGTAAGGCCAGGCCGTCGCGTAAAAGCCAAATGGGAGGCGAGGAGTTGGGCGTCTGAGCCGACGGTGACATGGAGGAGATGGTGTGAGGGAGAAATGGAAGCTTCTTGGCAGTCATGAAGCTAGGTTGAAAAGACTGCAGAGAAAAGAGTGAAATGGCAATCTATTACTAAGTCCCTATGTTCCACTAGGAGCTCAAGAAACAAATAATCATAAAAAAATTTAAGCAACCCGCTAGTGGCATTTCTAAATCACAGTGACACAGAAATGAATGAAGTTTCTTATAAATTAAATAAATATCACTTGGGAAGCATATAACTAACAAATCAAAATTTCGTTAACTTTTAGATAGCTTCATCCAGACGTCTAAACGTATCACATTTTAAACCCATCGAATGCGACTACTTAATGGTAAATAGAAACGAACTTACTTCCTCAGGACACTTTTGATATAAGAATACTTTAACTAAAGACTTTAAATATAACTGTCTGAAGGGGGATTTCTTACTCAGTGTTCTCTGTCATTCACATGTTTACTCGCTTACTTGGGTTCTTTGTGACAACCATAACCATTGGTTACGGACTCTAAGTGTTACGGTTCAAAATCGAAGTCAGTGGCGCAGATGCATTCACATATCAACTTCATCTTCTTCGACATAAGTAATTTCACTATTGCTTCATTTCCTTTTGCTCTTTCTTAACGGCTTTCTATGACTTTCAATCATTTTCTTGCTTACATAGCTGTCTTTCAGCAGCTGTGGTAATGCCAAGCGCCGCCTTTATGATGACTGACTGATAGACTTAGATAACTACATTTCAACTCAAACAAAACCCCTTGAGAAAAATTTTATTACTTAAAACTCATCAATAACTATCACCCTAGTAATTTTGTGGGACACAGTGGTTTGGTTTTAGAATGTGAACTTAGTGAATGCAAGTCCTGCAAAAGACTTTATCTGTTAGAAAAGCCCAATATGAACATTCAGATGTTGCAAAATAACTAGCCATACATGATAAAGCTTCGAGTGGACGTCACTCATAATACTCTAAAAATAAGCAAACTGAGTAGAAGAAATGTTGTTTGCCAATCAACTTCTCATCTTCAACTCTCAATCAATCAGTTAGTCAATCATAAAATTGGATCGAGCTCTACTGGAAAGTGGATCAAGTCCCCATATCTCACATCAACACATAAATATACACGACAGAAAGATGAAAAATGTAGAGATAGGCAATACAATGTGATGAAAACTCGTAGGAAGTCATAAAAGGAATGGAAGAGGAAGTGAGACAATGGCATCGTTTTCAGATATGTCGATTAAGGTAAAAATAAAGCCTGAATATATCTCCGTTACTACATCAATATAAATGTTTTACAGTTGATATCGAAAAGCGAATTTACCAGTTTTCGCTCATCTTGTAAAAAGTAAATGGGAAAATCAAAGTGTAAAATAATGAGGGGACTAGTTATATGGGGGAGAATGGTAAAAAAGGGATCAAACAATTTACTATTCTATAGATCGTACGGCGAACGGAGTAACAAATGTCCTTTGGTATATTGCGGTCTCATGCTGTTATATTGCGTTATATTTTGGATGTCTCGATACCGCTCAATTTATCATCACATTACAGTTTGCTAGATGGCTAGCAGTTGGGTCCAGGAGGCAAGTTTCGTCCCAAAGGGAACTCACCAGCTAGATGTACATGGACTTGGGTGAAGTGACGATGTTCCCACTGATACTGGGACCCAGTTCCCATTGCTTCAAATGGCAAAACTTACTCTCCTGGGGCATAAGAGCCACCTCTTGTGAAATGAGTAACAGTTCCTGTTTGAGCTTGTAATTCGCGTTGCTGCACAGGATCGAACTACTCAAATAACAGCTGATACCTGCTGGACAAGAGGAGGCTGTCGTGTCCCAGTGGCCTAGTAGACAACTTTGCGTCCAAAGCGATGGATACTGGCTTCGAGTATTGTTGGGAATAATATCACTCGCTGGGATGCAGGTAAATCCTACTGAAAAGTCTTAAACAAGATGAAACGTGCGTCCTAGACTCCACTTTTAGCCACCGAACAGACTATTGTATAACAGATGCTTTGTCAAATAATCAAAGCTTCATAATAAGATGTCTACACAGAGACGTTTATAATAAGTGATAGTGTACAAATATGAAACAAGACATTATCCATTTAAATCTTCAGATGGTCAAAACTGTCATCGTAGGACTCATAAGACAGGAAGTCAACACATTCAGAAGCAGATTTTGGTCATTATTTGTAAAATTTATATCGGAAATTTTCGGAAAAGCATTCATTCTTCAAGTATAAATAAATATTAACCGAGTAAATTAATGTAGGACCTCGAACACTGGTGCATCGACTCAAGTTGCTACAATAAGTGAATAAACAAAAGTTCATCCACTGACTAGCTCTATTAAGAAATTGGCTGATGATAAGCCAATTTTATTTACGGATCAACATCAGATCTACAACAATACCAATGTTTATTTACCGAACATTCAGCTAAACATTTTGGCTAAAGTCAAACATTTCTGCTTGTCTACTTGAAATTTGGCAGATGAAAAGAAGCTCGTTTCTGCGATTCACTGATTAAACATAGACTTCTTTGTCCGATGAGCTAAGAATCCTTTTGTATCTGAGTAATGATGAACTTTCAGTCTGTTATATATGTTGTCGAGATACACATAAGTGTAATAAAACTGAGATTTTCACTTAGAATTAAAACGATTCGTAGTCCCAAAGCAAGAAACAGTTGCCCAACAATCCAATAAGAAGTCAAGCAAACAAACAGCATTGAAAATGATATGGGTTACGTATATGACGAAACATGCCACGCCAAGATTTAAAAGAAAAGGAGTGAAGGGATCGGAGTCGTTCTGCGCAACTCTGAACCAGAAAATATTAGGTCTGTTGATATACACTTCTCATGGACATCAACTATCAAACGGTGACGCTTAGGGTCAGATGCAATCTAAGCTAACTTGATCTCTCCTTATCACTGAGGAGCATCACAAGTCTGATTAACCCAGAAGTGAGTGTAAGTTGATAACACTAACTGAATAACTCAAGTGATCCCTGTTCAATGCTGGTAAAACTTAAATTAGAAGTACAAGACTTTTGAGTACATGCTCGCTGTTGGCTTCAGTGAAACCGTCACCAGATTTCAACGCGTATGCCGAGATTTTAACAATCGCTTGCTGTATCAAAATAACAATAATCATTTATTCCTTTCATAAAACTAAAGAAATATGTTAACAAAATCTCATTTTTCTATTCACTTTGTTGTTTATTGCAGTCAAATGAATGTATGCATCAAGGTCATATGTTGAAAATTGACTGATGACTTCCTGCTCACTCAAATCCTACAACCGGCTAAATTAGAGCAAAAATTAAGCATACAATCATTTGAAATGTCGTAAGATATATCGCCTGATACATTTTGAAGGTGAAACGAAATTCCAAATGAATTTAGATCCATTTAGAAAAAAACAATCGAATTATAAACTGACAGAAATCTTCGTGTAAGCCCTGAATATTGGACAAATTTTTGTTTATACCATTACCCAGAAGTATTTTATCAACAACAGATGATTATTTTTTGAAGGCGGCAACAAAACTGTCATCAACAGTGACCAGATAACATCCATCAATGTATTTTATTTTAATTCTTATCTAGATGGCCTACAAAAATATTTAGTTACTGTACGTAACTGCTAAAGGTATTCACCGAGATTTACTATCTGATCAGAAACAATTCCGGCTATTCTTTTTCTAATCCTGAAATAAAGATTTTCTCCTACTAATGCTTATTCACGCAAAATACTGATAAATAAATG